AGCTTTTAACAATGCAAGCACTCGAGAAAAATGAACAGAATTTTAAAAATAAATATACAAAAATTAAAACCAGCCATGAACTCCCAGCAGATGCTTATTGTAGCAATAACTGCCTATCTCAGGAGCAGGCTCTTAAATGTATAGAACAACACAGATCGACAAATAAGGTTTGCAGACTTGAGTGATGAATGCTCATCAGTTTCATTTCATTAAAGATCTGAGTTTGCACAGTAATTTCCTTTTGCATCACTGTTTTGGAGATTGCTCTTCTTTTCGCAATACTTAAAATCAATATATTTTTAGAACACATGAGCTGCAGACAGAACTGCTATGCCTGGAAGTGCCTACCATTTGACCTGAATGAAGTACTATGGCCTGAATGAATAGCACACATCAGAATTATCAATTACAGGCTTCTCTAGCATATTTGCTATTTCTCTCATATTGGCACATATCAAAAACCAGAAATAAGCAGCCTACTTTGCAATGTTTCAGACACAATAGTCTTGCAGTAGTCTGTAAATTATAGCCTCATAGTAGGGATTGGATTTTAGTATTATTTCAGGTATACTGACAAAATAGTTATTACTATCTCCAGTGGATCCTTAAAAGTTAATAACCATGCACGAGACAAACAGAATTTTAACCTACTACCTAACCATTAGAATAAAAAGCTCAGCTATTCTTTAGTTCATAAAATTATATCATTATATCATTAAACATGAAAATTTGTGTCAAATATTCATATTAAATTTCAGAGTATCAAAAAAAGTTTTACTTCTATGGGTAAATGTATTCATCTGTTATTACACTGCAGCAAAGAATGTTTTGTTATGTCTCAATGTATTATCAAGTCCCCCAAAAGGCTTCTCCATATAAATCAAAATATGCATTTGCATCATTTTTCAAGTGATGACAGTATAAGACCTCAACTCAAGCCTATACTGTGTATTAATTCCTTACATCTGAACAATCCATTTTGAAATAAGACACACAATAAATCATTTATGTGCTGAATAGAATTTCCCAAGCAGAATCTGTTTGAATTCCAAGACTCTTCACAGTCTTTCTTGTGTATTGTGGTTTCCTTGGCTTTTCTGAACCTTTTAACCTATGCCACAATTTAATAATCACTATTTAATAATTATAATCATTCCCTTATTAACTGGGTATTTCTTTTTCTTGTCCTAAGGCACCCTGTAGATCAAGATAAGAAAATCTCTTTGTTGATTAGTTATTTAAGATCGGCAACAATAACTATGCTGGAAAGAAAGGTACTTTGAGAGGATTACACAGAGCTAGTTCTCAACAGCCTCAAGCCGAGAGAAGCAAATTACAAACGCAAGTACTTCATTGCATGTAACCAAATTGGCTGGTTGAAATGCTAATTGCCTTTCAGCAAAGCTAAAGGCAGACAGGGGTCCCTGTGCTTCAAAGAATGACACGCATTTTTTACTCCACTTCTGCACTATTGTCTTGCTGAGAATTATTCAAAATCTATTCATAAAGATAGCTCTTTTCCTAACCTTTAAAAATGTGGGAAATTTCTAAAGCTCTGACCAATGCTTCAGATCTGTTGGTCTGCCAAACCCATAACAGATGGCTGAATTAAGGCCACACTAAATCCTTAATGAAGCAAAGCTTGAAACAAGTCAGACCAGTAATATATTGGACCAGTTCAGGGTAAGTAAGAAAAGAAAAGGAAGTTTCTTCTACTATCACAAAATGGGAATCATAATTGCATTCTAAGCAATAAATGTATATCAGATACCCAGATACAAAATGCAATAACCAAAAAAACGGTTTTTTCCACATAAAAAAAGATTTTACTTTAACATTTTATAGGAAATTCTGTTTATAAAAAACCCACAGTCAGAAAAGCTGCAACGGACATAGACATCATTTTTCCACTGATTAATTTTGCCAGATAAATTTATTCTGTCAAATAGCACATAGCCTTTATACAACTTTATCTGAAGAGCAACCTTGGTTTTGGATTACAAATTACCTAAGTAAAAGAAATTTAAACAATTTCAGCTACTTTTATAGGGAACTTTGTAAACCAAACTATGTATCATTATTTTTTCATATTTAAAGCATATTCTAGAACTCCTAGTTTTAATATTCTTTCTATAGATAGCCACAAATTCTCATCTATGAAACTTAGAACATGGAACATATGGAACATAGCCATTCTGAAAACCTTTTTCACATGTAGTATTTTCCTGTGAAAAGTGCTTCTTCACTTCAAGAACACCTTAGGTAACTAAGGCTTTGTAGAAATAGTATCATTTGTGATTCAATTACACTTTTATAGTAAAAAAGGTAACAGATTTACCTGGAATAAAATAATTGACCTGTAACACTGATTTCTCCTGTCAATCCCTCTGCCCTAGGAAACAGGGATTTAGTTCCTATTTAAATACGAAGGACTTCTGAATTTCTGAAACTATGATGAGGAGCCACAATCCACAGCAACAGCTCTGTAAAACTGAATTTGATGATTTAGGAGTTGCATAGCATTTGGCCTCAATGCACATTGAAAGAAGTGCTCAAATATTATGTATGCTTAGTTACAGTGAGGAAAAGTATTGTATCCAGGAGGGATTAAATCAAAAGACTTCAACCTTGTAGGGGCCGAACTGCAAGTACAATTTATACAAATGAGTAGAACCGATCAACAGGATTACTCATGTGAACATAGTTAAGTATGTGATTATATCTTTGGGAGGTCAGGGCCTAACACTTTCTGAGCAAAGAATTTCAGCATACTGCTCATATTTTCTCCTTCCTAAATATATTTTTCACTTCTTAAAGGGCAAGTGGGATACCCAACAACACCAAGAATACAGAGAAAAAGGCAGATCAAAAAAGAAAAATCAGATAGCAGAATTATCCAGCAATAAAATGAAGCTAAATTGCCTTGGACAGATTATCTCAAATAGCAGCAAGGGTCAGATGTACCGTTTACGGTTTTCAGGCTTGTAAAAAACACCTTAGCTACAAAACTCAAATATAGTTGAAACAAATTTCAATTTTCTCTCTTCGAAGTGTAATCTAAGGACATATTTTTCAACAATACTTTCAACAAAGATTTTTTAAATAAAGTTTTGTTTAACTTATAATTAATATGAAACACTTTTAAAAATGCAGTAGGTAACAATCAACTCATCTTTCTCATATTGAAAGCCTGAAAAGCTATGGCAGCTGTGTATCAATATAAAAGGCAATCTGTGGGCCACAAATATTTTTTCCTCAAAATTACCATAGATTGTTAGTATCTTATGACCAAGATCTATATGGAAAATATATTATTATCTACATAGTTACATTTCTTCTGAGCAGCCACATTAAAAACATATGCTTTCCCAGCATTTGCAGTTGTCCAATTGAAGTCATTTGGAATATTCATGTGTTAAGTGAAACTTAACTACTTATATTTTTAATGGCAATCTAAAAGCAAGAAAAAAAAACACTCTTGAAGCCAAAAATATCAAGCAATGCAATGCCATGCATGTTACCGTTTAACATTTTTTAGCCTTTTTTCTAAAGCCTTCAATCAAATAAAGCTCACAATTTCCAGGGGGGAAACTGCAGTGTAGGTTTGCTTTTATAGCATCAATCTCATTTAGTAGTACTAAATCTTTAAAACTTATCTGCTGTTACTTTTCAGCCTTAAAAACACTTAGAGCACAAATAAACAGCAAGAGGACTTGCTCTCACAAAAAGAAAATATATTTTTTCCTATTGACTTCCATGTGAACAGGATACAAACCATAATTGCAAACTAATAAGCACATGCCCTCATTCTGGACGTTAATTAGCTCATCAGATGCAAATTTAGTAATAAGCATAATTGATTTTTTTCATGTAAGACTATTAAAAAACTCCACGAAGCTACTAAAACACTAAACCATGTTAGAAATCACGAGTAACAATAGTAGTAATATCAAACTACCATTTCAGTTCACTCAAAGTCCGTGTTAGTTTGACATTATCAACTATTTGGGCATTTCAATTCTAGTCCTAATATAGCACAAATGATACTATTCCCTCTCATGAATCTCCTTCTCCTTTCACATGGTAATACTGAATATATTTAGTACAAGAAAGCTTGTTTTAGACTTCAGGGACGAACAGAGACTGTTCTAAATAAACTATATTGTACCTTCAGTTACTGAATTCTGCTCTCATGGTGGGTTGTCAAATGCCTATTATTTAACTGAAAGTATTGCTCTAGAAGATATGTACAATGTATATCAGGAAAACCAACACTTGACTTCCACATTACGAGTAACTTTAAAAAAAGAATTACCTGCTCCTTCACATCTATACTATAAAGCTATTATAGACGCACTAAAAAACAATGTTTGACAAGCAGCTCCTACTATATTTGATCTTAAATTTATCTGGGTTAGCCAAAGTAAATTATGCAATGTTTTATACAGAATCAGCATATCAAAAGCTACAAGTACAGAAAATGTTTCAAACAGCAGCTGCTTACATCATAACATTATCATAAACATTTAAAAACAATTCCTTATCAGATAATTCGCAAATTTCCCTTTAATTCACTTTTTTTTCAATACACAGTATATACATAGGTCCTTGTTATTTTGATTTTCTCTTATTTGAAACAGTCAAGTGAGTATGTATTTTTGAAAGTTAAACTAGCTAGGACATTTCAGGCTCAGTTTCACCCCGATACAATCCCTTGAGAAATGGATTTTCCATTGGAAACACTATTGTCACCACATGCCCAGCTCTGCGGGGCAGAAAGAGGAGCTGCTGCAACAACGGAAACCTTAGCAGTCTCCTACTATCCAGCAGCCTCATGGACGAGCTGCATGCTCAGCTCTGGCTGCGCCTGCTTCAAACTTCTCCCTCCAGCAACAGGTGCTGCTGGCAGAACTCTAGAGAGGGAGAGTAAAGACCTTTGTGACTAGTATAGGATGCTCCAAAACCAGCTACAAGCTCAAATACGGAGAGAGCAAACCTACCTAAATCCGGGGACATGGGCATCCGCATCCTCCGGACGCAGCCGGCTGCCTGCACGCTCACTGTCACTCACACATTATGCATTCCCTTGTCTCCTACTCCTCCTCCTTTCCGTGCAGCAGCCAGTACACTCCTCCCTCTCCCAACTCCCACTGCCTTCCCACTGCTCTGGAGATAAAGGGGCTGGGATTGAATGGGACAGAGCTCTCAAGCCCCTGCAACTGCCCTCACTGCCCAGACAGTCCTGCCACTTAACTAGGACTGGACTGTTTTATTTCTGCAGGTAGCAAGACAGGTAAGTTTTGCCTGGACTATGATGGATTTTTGAATTTGATCTTAATGTACAACTATTCAGCAGGGAGTAAGCATGCACATTTTCCAATCCTAGACCCAGTGTTCTGGGCTCAGTCATTTCTCTGACATCAAATTCACATTTTATAGTAATCTCCATGGCAAGCACATCCTGAGCCAAAGCAGCCCATCACAACAGAGGCCCTAAGACACAGAGGCAGCACCTGAATCTTGCCAGTGTTTGACCTCAAGCTCTCCAGTTCTCTCATTTAATGGTAAACAAGCATCAAAATTTCTACTGAGAAGATAAATGTTGATGCACCTAAGCCTAGTAACATGGAAAATACTTTGATGAAGTCTAACTTAGTCCCACTTACATTTCCTTATTCTTTGAGATAGCTACTGGTGATTAAATTTAAAAGTTATGGCAAATTAATACAGCAGTATCACAGATTTATTTAAATTCACTTAAAAAGCACCAACACTCCCTCCATCTCATGTACAAATTGAAAGTGCTATCAAATGAATGAAAGAAATTCTACCACATGAAGCAAGGTCAAGCAAATCCAGACCCCAAAATATTCTGACTCTACTACAAAAACATCTACCTGGTACTTAAAGCTTGCTGGATACTGTCATTTTTTGGCGCTAAACTTGCAGACTGTTCTCTTAAAACAGCACTCAAAGCAGACAGAAAAATCATGACTCCAACACAACTATACAATGTAGAAGTAGATATCCAGCATAAATTTTAACAGATGTGTTCCTTTAACCTTGTATCGTTCATCAGCCTTAAATAATCTATTTTAAATTCCTGCGTTCATTGCAAATTGGCATGTATTTGGATAAAAATTCAAATATACCTCTAGCCTAATTTTAGATGTTAACTCACAGAGCTTTATTTTATTTATAGGAAAGGCCGAGGGAAATGTTAAAAAGAAAAGAGGAGTATGCACGGAATGAAAGAAAAAAATTACAACTTTTTCTATTTGCTTACCGAAAATTCTTACGTTTCAGATGAGCTTCCTTTGCTCTTTTTTCATTTGGAGTATACGAAAAAATAAATCAGTGTTTAGCACATTGATACAAACCACAAAGAAAAGACTGGAGGCAAACAAACATTATTCAGTTTTGTCAGTTTTGAAGACACGCATCCCAAAAAAAGAATGAAGGCCATGTTTATAGGATGGTATCCTGGGAAGCAGCAAACCTGAAAAGGATTTTGGGATCATATGAGTCAAGATGGATGCCAAAAAGGCTAAGGTAATCCTTGCATGCACAAGGAAGAATTACAATGTAGCACTAGGGCTAAAAAAAAATCCAGCCAGATCTAGAGGACTTTAGGCCTTCTAATGGCATTATCCTTGTCATTACATTAACACTGTGCAGACTTATGGTAATTACAATTCAGGAAGATGACAATTTAACCAGAAAAGGTAAAAAAGATGCTAGAGAATGATGAAACGTTTGGATGAGAAAAAAAAAAAAAAAAAAGTAGGAGACTGAAAACCTCAATATTTAGCTCCTAAATGAAAAAGTGATGCCTCAAGCTGCAAAATACCCCACCTAACAGCAGCCATTTGGTCTAACCTAGTCACACACTGGGATAGAATGAACTGCCTCCAAGAGGTCCTTTTTTTCCTTCCCAACTGAACACAGAGTCCATACGCCTATCTTGAACTAGACATCTTTTAGATAGTAACATTAATGTTAGCTGAGATGAATACAACCTTGAACTTACTCTGCGTGCAGCCACAGGAAAAAACTGATAGCTAAGTCTGCAAGGTAGAGGATAAAGGCTAGATGTTCTTACATGTAGAAGCACAATTAGACATTAAAACTCAGAATAAATCACACTTGTTGCAAAATCTTGCATTATGATGCTTGAGCACAACAGGTACATAATTTTTGATAGGGTAGCCATAAGACTTTTTCATTCTTTATTCTAAAATAATTTAGCTCAGAAGAATTAGTCCATCTTGCCCTTTTTCCTGCAGCTTCTGTAGGCACTGCAGTGACTCCATTCAGTTCAGCTCCCACCAAAGGCTATCAAACTACTCAGCATCAGAAGAACTGCCTTAACAGCAATCAGTCCTCAATCACAGCACACCAGAACATATTAAACTTTGCTGATTACTGAGCTAGAAAAAAGGATGAAGCTGAGAACTCAAACCTGGACCCATTGATTCACACTGCTAGTTTCATAAACCTGCAAACAAAGCTGCATTCAGATCTGAAACGACCACAGCTTTTACTTCTCTCTCCCACTCAATATGCAATCCTCCATTTTCTCTAGATACCTGATTATTTCCCAACTACTTTTCCATTTCCATTCATACCACTCAGGAGACCTACACTGTAGCTTGTTAGATACAAGGATGGGAAAGGGCTCCCATGGGATTTTGTCAACTTTGGTCCTCAATCAGCTGGAAAGGTTACCACTGATTGACATGGGACACTCCATGCCCACTTCTAACACTCAGCATGCTGCCCGCGCAGCACTAACCCCTTACAAACGTCAGGAACCAACAATTGTGCTGGCTATTGGCCCTACAGTAGATCTGGCACTGCACAGGACTAGGCCTCCAGGTCATCATTCTCTTCTCAATAGAAGCAGTAAATAAGGTATACTAGATACACCCTACCCCTTCTTTGTTTCTTTGCATTTCTTTTGTTCTGAATTCACAAAACTCTGCAAGTTAAAAAAAATGGTTCTGCTGCTCAGTAAACCAATATTGAAAGCAGCAGCAATACAATCAGTGGACTCCAGTTTGTTTTGAAATCTTGCCGTTTCCCTTTATGACATTATCAGAAAAGACAGACAGAAAAGAGAGCTAGAAGTAAATCACCAAGAAAGGAATAAGGGAAAGGGGAGCTAAAAGTATAAGGGCAAGAGATAGTTAGATAGTTAAAAGGAATTGCAAGAATTCCAAAGACATTCAATACTGAACATTTTCTTGCCTTTTTTTTTCCTTACAGAACAGATCATGTTATATGACTACTAAGGCCATGTGGTATTTATTCATACATAATTGTAGTACCATATTGTTAATATTACATAGCAAAATTAGAAGTTCAACAGAGCAAATTTTATCATAAACATTTATAACTGTCATTAAAATTGAGAATTCCCAATTTTAAAATATCATCTTGCTTTTATTTCAATATCTAGTAATGTTTCGTTATCATCTAAGGCAGCCAAGCTCCAAAGTTTTAGTCTGAACACTTGCTTGCATGCAAGCAGCAAACTCAAATTCTGAACATTTTGATTTTCAGTCCTGCACAGATTAACACATGGGTCTGCCTTTTCTGTTATTTAAGATGAAGCACACTGGACTACTCTGAAAGAACATTAAGCATGCGTGTAGCTCTTCAGTAGATAAATCCTCAAAACACACCACACAAGATAACTTTATTTTTTTGATCTTTATTAATGAATACTTCACATACAATACTCCAAAAACATGCATCACCCACCAAACATTGCTTTGATCAGTTCCAGCCTAGAAGTAGAAAACTCAGGTTAATCTTATTCCTTTCCTTATTAGGTTATCCTTTCCTTATCAGGTTAATCTTATTTCCTATTCCTTATACACTTTCCTGAATTCCTGCAAGTGCATCTTGATGGATAACTAAATGGCAAAAGTCAAAAAATATAAGTACTGAGCTGATCACATGACAGTTTGAGCAGTACAAGTTTCTGATCCAGTAATTTATGCCTGACCAGTTGAAGTACAGATGTGTGCAGATTCAACTGAGATGCCTTGCTCCTTTTATTTCCACAGACTGTATGGTTCTTTGAAAATAACTTAACTCACTGCATCTCCAAATCAGCTGTCAAAGCTCAAGCATGGAATTTTTGAAAGCATCTATAGTTATAAGAAGAAATACCATCTCTGAAGAGACAGTTTGGTCTCGCAAATGTTTAGTGGCTCCATTTGAACCAGATTGGGAACTCACTGGCTGATAGGTCCCTGTGACCTACATGGAGAAACATGAAGAGAATTTGGCAAGAATTGTCTGCCCGCTCCTCTTGTGCCATTTTTGTTGATAAATGGCAGTCTTAATTTTTTCAAATGTCCTTTCCTGCATTTATAATGTCACTGATACTGCATATAGTATATAGGAACTTGCTTCTCCATTGAACACCTGCCTGTTAAATTAAATACTTTGTGACACATAAGATCAGAGTACTTCAAAATTAGACTTATTAGAAGGCAAATTCAGAAGGAATGCTTACTAAAAATGCACCTTTTTTTTCTGAAATCAGAAGTGAAAAGCCTTCTGCAAATCTTCTATCTAAATTGCTCTCAATTTTTAAGGACCTCATTTTTTTTCAGAGTAAAGAAGAACGAAAAATCGTTCCAGTTGTTGCACACAATCTCACTTGCTTTCCCAGTTCACAGACAGGTAACATGTTTTCTTTGAATAAAAGGAAAACTTCTTGGAAACAGGCTGACATTTTTCAATGTGATTAGCCAATCATTTCCCTGAAACTTCCCAAGTGAAAGTGGAAACATTTACTCACGTTGCCTACTTCTTCCCCCTCAGGATCAAGGGAATATTTACTACTTCAGTAAAAAGTCTATACAAATTAGGGCCCCCATGATATAAGCATGCCTCCAATAGGCAGGAAGTCCAGAATTTGTCTTGAAAGTAACTAAGTTCTGTAAGACCAGAGCATCACGTTACTGGAAGGTAACTATTCTCCACCTTTTAATTGTATTTATAAAGCAGCATTTATCTTAGCATTCTGACACTAATACAGTGATCCTGCAGACAGAAAAAAAAAAATACCAGCTACTAACACAGAAGAGAACAAGCACTCTTTTCAGAGATGTTTTGCAGGGAAAAAGATGCACATTTTCTCCTCTGTTCCTCTCCCTTTCACTCATACTTTGTCCCAAGCAAAACCTAGGGCCTTTAGAATTTCCTTATTTGTAATGTTTTCTCCGCACATTTAAGCTGTATGCCTTTTTTAATGCGACATCTGAGAAGCTACTTTATCTTACTCTGCATTGTGGCACCTGAAACTTTAAGTACATTATATGCAGGGAGATGTTGAACAAGCATCTGAACTACACTATTCTGTAAAGGACCCTGTGCATAACTACGTTAAGAGTTCTGTACATGATTTGTTAAGCACTGTGAAAGATAATCTAGATACTGTAGAAAACTGCACCAATGTAGTAATAAAAAAAATCCTAGAAAAACATAACCCATATAGCACTTAAAGAGCTCCTACATAGTTTTTTAATTTATGACATTCTAAGTTCAAAGTCAGAGGTTGTTCACACAAGTAATAAGAAGGTTCAACGACAAAGTGACATATGAAGGAAAACACTGAGACACATGCTCAAGGTATTTACAACATAAATCAATAAAAAGCTTTAAAAAAAACTGTATGAGACTAGTTAACAATCTTTTAAAATTGCTTGCAGTATACGCCCACTATGTGTGGTGCTTCCCTGTGGTTTTTTTTATTTTATTTCAATGGCAGGGGGAGGAAAACAACAAAGCTCCGTAACTATCCTGCATAGCATAATGTAACCATGGAAGCGTTTGTCCACTTGCCAGAGCCTCTGCAGAATGATTCGCTCATTCAATTCATTGAATCAATACTGCAGCTTTTAAGATTTACTATTTGAGGGTGTAGGAAAGCTAATAAAACAAATTCCTTGTTGCTTCCCATTAAATCCATCTTGTCACAGTAGGCATATTAATACCTTGTAACTGCTTTACTGATGTGGCGTGGCCTATGTTATTATCTCTCCTTATGGAGGGATTACTCAATGTATTTGCATTAACATGTCTGATACTCACTGAAAGAGAACCTAAAGGTTTCTGACATATTCTGCTGTCCCATGCACAATCTGAATCAAAGACAAAAATTGTAGGAAACCGGGGATAAAAATCTTAAAGTACATTAAAATGCTCCTACTAAAGAATATGTTTAGGTCTCTTAAGCCACAAATTGGACACTTGTAGACATGCTATAAATGCTTTAAGTTGAATGGAATTATTTTAGAAGCATTTTCATATTCGCTGAAGTATGATAAAATTGAATTAAATACGAAGTAATGCCTATTTCATGTGTCTGACAAAGACAAACAGCAAAACAGAGTGTTGTATATGGAAAACAACAAAATCTTAAGCACTACCAGGTGACTAAGTACATGATATCTTTCTGCAAAATTTTATCAGAGAAAGGATAGTAAGTTATGCACAGTTACAGTAGTGTCACCACTAATAACAGGGCTTGAGAAGATTAACCCTCAAGGGTAATACTTTATCCTTGCATATAATTATAGGTCAACAATAAAGGCACCTTAAATGCACAGTTCAAACACTTATCAATATGACAGACTTAATGCATTAAATTTTTTTATGATTGTGAATTAGAACCTGGCATGAGATAGTCTTCCTGTTCCCACCTCTTTTACCATTCCTACATCCTTCTGTAAAAGATGGCTATCCTACTCTACACTGTTTCAGCTGCAGGGATCTTAAAGTAAGGAAAGAAAGTATTTGAAGGTATTTGAATTATCTGAAGTATTAAAGTAGAACTATTTGAAGTATTAATGGTATTTGAAACAACCAACTCACTCTTTGTCTATAAGCCTTTTTCCTATAGACAGGACAGTAAAAGGGTGATAGCTGACTAGCAGCGCCTGTACCAGGGCAATCTTCTACTCACTGAAGTCAAATCAAATGACTGTTTGTCAGCAAAAGCTCTTCAGCTTTAGTTGCTAACATTATTGAATATTTTTATAAACAGAATGTAGTTTGCACCTTACATATGGCCTTCTGGATTACTTTCATACACAAAAACCATTAGCAGAAAAGCAACTCACTAAGCATGCAGGGCGATGCTGTGAGAGGAAAAAAAAAGTGGAGTTAATCTTAAAATGTATCAACTGTAGTTCAGTGACCACTAGTTTGGTAGGGGGAGGAGAGTGTCAGAGAAAATGAAGAGCAATTTTACCTTCAAATGTAGCACTAATGGTACAGATATTTGAAGCTGCATAAAGTTCTGGTGCTCACATTTTAGAAAGGCTGAAATCCACAAGAGGCAAACAAGTCCCGAGAATCAACAACTAGAGAAGTAGAAAGCAACGCTTGAAGCTCAGGGTTAAGCTCCAAACTATAGTACAAAAATTCCTCCAGAGAAAAAGAAATATGTGAGCACTAAAGGGATTACTCAAGGAAAGCATACTGAAAAGCAGATATTTCTAACTTACAGATTCATACAGCTAAAATTCCAAGGATTCTATGGAAGTCTTAAAAATGCTACAGACATTTCATGCTATTCATGCTGTGATGCTATTCATCAGCATAGGTATACAAGTAGGTATCAAAGTTTCTAACATTAAAAAAAAAAAAGATTTAGCGTCCAATTTACTCATTTTATATACTACTTTCAGTGTTGCTGATTTCACTGGAAGATTTTTCTATTCAGAGGATACCAGATATTAAGTTAAAAGTAAAACATATCAGCTAAAAGCACGCTTTTCTTTATAGATTTTTAAGAAATATCAAACAACCAAATGCACTCTACTGGCTGTTCCACAGAAGAGACAACACATTCCTATTGTGAATATATATTATTAAAGTCATCAGTTCATGTTGGTTAACCAAAGGAAAGCAGCAAAAGCACGCAGTAGGAAATTGAGAAACTACCTTTCAAACAAAGGTTAGCATTGGTTGTTCTGATTAAATGACGGAGTCTGTTAACAAAGGTTTTAAACCAATTTAAGAATGAAATTGAATCTTGCTAACTGAAGGATTTCTGATAATTCTGAAACTCCAATTCCAGATCATAATAGTTACATACAAGTAAACATATATGTGCAAATGCTTCCAGTGAGGAATAGATGACTCTACAAATCTCTGCTGCCTTAGCATTCTCTTCAGCATACCCCTGATTATTAACTTATCTTATTGTATCTTACACATCTTGTTGTCAGATACTGCATTACATGTCAATTGGATTCTTCTGGAGGAACTACTCACACATTTGTTGGCAGTTGTTTCCTATGAAACTTTGATACCATTCACAACTACCAAGCAGAGAAGTAGGTGAAAATAGACAAAGGCTGTAGATTTCTTCCTGTATGAGCCTTTAATACTACATGGCTCATTCAAGGGATTAAAAATTCAAGGGATTAAACTAGATACTTAGTTTTAGTCTTTTCAACTTAAATCTAGCTAGTTCTGAAACAGAATGGCTTAAACTTATAAAAACTGGTGGAGGAAGATGATGTATATGTTTACTAGAAGTAAAGAGTAAAATTGATTACAAAGTATCAGCTCTCAGCCTTGTCTAGGTTTCTTTTGGCATAATTTCATAACAGTTTTTTTAATATTCCTATGCACATGAATTAAAACCTCTACCTCTGACCGAGCCACACTAGACATGTTGTGCCCAAAGGGAATGCGACAGATCTCTGCAGTCACCCCTGAAATGCTGTGGAGTGATTAACACTGACCCCACTGCTCAGTGGGAATGCACTATTAGGATATGCAAAGTACCTTACATGGCCATGGAGAAAGGCTCTGTTCCCATTAGCATTCATGGGAGCTAGGCAGCTACAGTCTTGTTCATCAAGTTTGGAATATACCCTTTTGTTATTGATGGGAAAATGTCACTGGTTACAAATGGTTACACACAGGGGTGTAGCAGGGTCAAAGCAAACTTTCCCCCATGCCTCCTCCCCAAGAGTGCTGCTTCAGCAGTTCTTTTTTGACCTGATGGTACACCTCTTTAGATAAAAGAAATTGCAAAATTTCCTGCCCTGACCTCTTCTGTAGCTCCACTATGCAAAACCTCCCAAAGGACATGCTATCAGCAGTGTATGCTGGGACAATCGGACACTGATGCAGGCATCCCTAAGTATGGAGTCTGCCTTCAAACACCTCTCAAGGTCCACCCACAGCTCTGATCAGTCTCGTAAAACAGTCTTTCAACAGCATGAATAGTCTGAGTCATCAGTTTCCCAGCTACAGACAACTACAGTTGCTTCATTTCTACTACTGAGAGCTGCCCTTAGAAAACCAAACTAGTTAGTACCGCAGATACTCTCTGCCAGACATCCATGATGCTTAATAGATAGAATTCCCATTCATTAAATTATAAATTTTTCATCAACCTGAGAACAAGATTAAACTTAACTTACGGGAAATTCACTCCATCTTGTCACCGCTAATAAGATATATTACCCTTGCTGGAAAGAGTTGGAGGGCAACTCAATTTCCTTACAATCTGCAATCCTCCAAAGTGGCTAAAACCATACTGGGACTGTAAGCACAGGCACAGGTAATCTGTCAACCCAAACCTGTTTTTGTTGTACAGAGGCTGCTTACACAGAGCCTTCAGTGCAATTAGCACTGGCTCTGCAGCTCTCCCATGAAAGCTTATTTCTGAACCAGCACCAACTGGGAATATGCTACGAAATACTCTGAAGAACAGAAATAGGCTGGATTAGTCTCCTAAGCCATTTAGTGATACACTCCTTACATTTAGGAAGCTTTCTGAGGCAGTTCTAATTACACTGCACAGCTAGAGCTACATTATAGAGATGCATAAGGGAGCTCATAAATCGGCTTTTACCTGCTTGCCCAACTCTGCACTTCTAGCAATGTAGGTTGTTCAAGGCATGTTTAGAAAAAGATAGGAATACATCCTGCCCAGCTCCAGTCAACACTTACTGTATCCTTACCACATAGTTCTGAATCCTGAGTATGTTCTTTCATGCAAACTTTCTTTCTTACAACAAAGAACAGCTCTACCCTTGGCAAGGCACCACTACTGAACAGGGTTACTTTTTTTTCCACTGATGCTACAGAGGAGCAGCCTAGAAATAATTAATAAAGACTTCTGTCTCACCTGCCCATCATATCCAGTAAACAAATACTTTAAATACAAATAATTTGAGTTTTTTTGTGCTTTTAACTAGAACACATTAACACACTGCACACCTTGATGACTTAATCTACAGTGTGCAGGCAGTGTCCAGCCTTCCTCAGCTTGCATGACTTCAATCAGCACTCCATTGACACATACAATAACTAGCTATTGTGATACCAGATGCAAGTCATCCATTCTCAGAATTTAAGATGCAAAGGATTCTGCCTTTCTCAGAATTTAAGCACAAAGGCACTTCTGGCCAGCCCTCTATTTAAATGGGAGACTGGAAATATAAAATGAAGAAACTTTTTTCCTCACTTTGCTAAACTGCTCTTTTTTAAGGGAGAAGGATTACATGGGTGGGGGAGCACTGCACTGTTAAGCAGCCCTTACATTTTGCACAGTATCTCAGCCTCTAGCAAGAGCTTCCCCCAATAAAAACAAACACAAAACTTCAGGTTAAATTACACTACTTGAGCATGCTTAGGCACGCGAGGCTCTAGGAGTTGAAACACAATATAGTGCGATAACACTCACAGGAGCACATTAACCCCAGGAGCAGCCACCGGAAAACCCCTTTATCCCCGCGGGCAGGTCCGCGGCTCGGCCCCTCGCGCTGCAGCAAGGCCCGGGCCCTGCGAAAGGCCTTCGGTGAGACTGGACAGGGCTGGAGCCGCCACCGCCCTCACGCGGAC